TTGAATTAAAGCAAATGTTTTGCTTTGATTGCAGCTCGAAGATTTAATCCTTTGTCAATCAATTGATAACCAGACACATAAATCTGAGTGTTTGTGGGCAGCAGTTTACCCTGTAGGCTGCAAAAGAATTAAGATATTTGTCAGAAATGCTCCTTTAAAAACTGAGAAATGACTGAGAAACATTTGGACCAGCCTTGAACTTTGGTAATACTCCATTTTTCCAGTTTTTAATTGCAGCACTGCAGTTTTTATTTACATCATCTTTATGTTTTATGTCTTATTTGTGAGTTTTATACAGTTGTTTTCTGTGTTTTTATGCGCAGAGTTTCTTACATGTTGAGGATAAGATTTGTTGTCATGTAGAGCCGGGCAATAAATCGAAAATGTACAGATACTATTGTTCTTTCTTAGTGAGCATGTACAAAGTGAGTAATAATTTCTGTAAACAAAGATCCTCATGCTGTGGGGATGTGGATGGATTTCAGGGCTGGGCGATAAATCAAAAATTTACCGATTCTGAAATTTACGACAATAACCGACGTCATTTTGCCCATGTCAATATATTAAGTGTCAAAAACATAAATAAATAAATGTTGTTTTTGGATGTGTGTAAATAGGCTATGGTCTCACGTCCCTATAAGACAGAGACCATCTAGTCTGTAACAAAGAGGGAAAGACAGGTGAGGAGATGGAGGACGGTTTAAAAGTTGTAGCGGCTGAAGTAGAAGAAGTTAATGTGGGAGGGAGTGAGCAGCTTGTGGGGTAGTTATCGTCTTTTTTTCGTTATGTGAGGTGAACTGCTCAATATATCGTGATATTGATTTAAAGCCGTATCCTCCAGTCCTATGGTCATGTCTGTGTTTGTGTCATCTCCTGCAAACTTAACAGTAAACTTTAATCTCTTTCCATTCAGCTGACAGTCTGAGACAATATTCTTATACATCCACTGCATGAAAACTAGAAACTCATTAGATATATATGGTATGAACTTGTGTATGCATATATGTATGCCTAAATGTGTGTTTGTGTGTGTGTGTAACAGTGTGTGTTTGACTCCGGTGACCAGCCTGGCTCTGGTTACACTCTCTCTAACATGACGGACAGCAGAAACCTCTCCTGGTGCACCTTGCTTGCGGGAAGCCGAGCGGCTGCAGGCAGAAATAAATCTCCCCTGAGGAAAGTCGATACAGCGGCTCACATGTCCGAGGAAGATGAATACCCGAGGCCATCTGAATGTTAATGGATACAAAACACTGTGCATATGATACACACAAACATGAGCTGACTCAATGAGGGCAAGGAGTACTCAAAACCCTCAACTTGAGTTCAAGAATGAGACAGAGAGGAGTGCGTGAAGTTCAAGCACCTCTGGGAAGAAGAAGAGTGTTCACAAAAAGGAAAAGAAGAGAAATATCTCCAAATTGTCTCTCAAATGAGTAAAACACCCACAAAATCCTGCAGTTGATTGCACAATTTGGTTCATTGTCGCAGGTTCAATGTTGTACCAGCGAAACTTTATTTTAACAAAACGCCATGAGCCCTATATGTACTTTCTGAATCAATGTCAGAAAACCCCGAACACCTGTGCAAACACATTTCACAGATCACTCACTTCAACCCGGGGGAAAACGTCTGAGCGCTCAGGTGTCTGAATAGACAAAAAAAAAGGTGTACTGCCCCTTTAAGTGAGATGTAACGAGACCCTGTGTGTGGCGTCTAAAGTGAGAGGAGCGGCACTGCTGCTGGTCAGAAGAGTCTTCAGATACAGATCAATGGAAACAACTGAGACCAGCGGAGCCAGAGACTCCCAGCTGATTCAATTTACCATCTCTGTAACACACACACACACACACACACACACACACACACACACACACACACACACACACACACACACACACACACACACACACACACACACACACACACGAGGATGCACACAAAAACACACTCATTCCCTCATCAGATTATTAAAGTTATTATCACTAATTAGCATTTGTTTACATGTGCCTGATGTTTATGTTACGAGCCTCTGAGGTCCTGTTTTGTCTTGACTCACCTGGCCGACAGGTGAGACTAAAAGAGGGTGTGTCTCTGTGTCTCTCCTCTTTTCATCCCCTGGAGGACAAAAACTCATCAGCTGCGAAGGACTCTTTCAAGACGCTCTGCAAAGCTGTAAAACCTCAGCATCTGTATCTGAGTATTTGGTGACACAGTAGTACTCTGATGCAGTATTTATGTTTGTACGTTACTTTTAATGGATTGTACCTTATAGATGATTAAAAAAAGTGGTCTCCTCAGGAGCTAAAACTTCTCTGTCTTTACATGCAAGGTGCTAAATTTGTGCACTTTAGATTTTCTATGAAGCAATGTTAAGATGAAAGCGTGATGCAAAAACTGTTGGTAAGAGCAGCTTTAACTCTGAGATATCACCTGTGAAATATGCTGGATGCAGTAATTTCCACAGCGCAACACAGTGTCAACAAAAAGGATTGAAATATTCTGAGATATTTTTGAGAGCAAACAGTCAGAGTGTCAGAAACTTTAACACATGCTTTCTGCAGTTTCAAAGCCCTCAAGCTGCATAAACGTCAATAAAAGCTCTGATAGTCGGTAGTTCATACAAAAATAAAAGCTGAGCAGAGTCTCGGTTCAATCAGAGCAGCATCAATTATTCATAAAAGCTCCTGTTGGCCCTGCTGCTCCTGGGATCGATGCCTCTGTAATGTGGACTGATACGAGCCCCCGGTCGAGTCCTGGCTGCAGCAGGTTAATGGGCCGACAGGATTTCAGCTGCTGCTCCGGGCACTTCCTGCACAAAACTCTGCACCACACCCCACTGGCACACTTAGAGATCCCAGAGAGGTAAGAAGTTCAAATTAAAGGGACATTTCAGAAGTTAGGAAAAGTGTGAGTGTATTAGGAAAGAGACGGTACGAAAGCTAGGCTACAGTTTTCTGAAGATAAGGCCAACTCTGAGACTCCGACTCGAGCAATCATCTCAGTTTCTCCAACCTTTTAATTCAGTTTAATTTTGTTTTCTCTTTTTTTTTTCTCTCCTGAAGTTTAAATCCAATAAATTGCTTTGGTTGTTTGCCAGAACTTGAGGCGTTATCATCCTGCCGGCTGTGTGATAATGTGTGGAGCATTAAATATTCAGTTAAGAGGAAGTTGAGTGTCACTACATTATCTGAGATGTCAGGGATTTATTGATGACTTTCTCTTTATCCGATGGAGCTGAAAGGACACACGCACAAACACACACACACAAACGCACACACGATAAACCACTGGGAGTAATATTATTTGTCTGATAGATGTAGTCTATTTGTTTCATGAATTATTGATCATCTTCCAAAATGTCATCCAGAGCGCTCTGAGCATGACATCACTTTGACAGACGAGCCCCTCAGTAGATCTTTCTGGAAGTTTAAACTGGGAAATTTAAAGGTTATTTCACCAATTAATAAATCTTTTAAAACACACAGTTATTTTCCTTTACCAGCCCTGAGAGGTTTAAATCTGTTCAATGATTTTCCAGATAATCCTCAGACATTGAAACTGACAACCTCTGACACATGAATAAATAATAAGATACATGACACATTGCATGTATGAGTTTTGTTTTCTAATTGGATGCATCAGTTATTCATGTTTTGCAGCTTGATGGTTATATTATTTGTTTTATGAACAAACAAAATCCTATAAAATTTTAAAGAGCACCATTTCAAGCTCATTAATTTCTGATAAATCTTTTAAAATCTCCCAACTTTTAAAAAAATATCTGTTAGGAAAATAATTAAGCAGCCAATTACTCTGATACTATTGTGCTGAAGGCTGCAGAGGGATGTAAAAACAACAACATTAAAGTGTTTTTATCCTTTTAGAAATCACAGAAAATGATGCCTTATGTTGCCGAGGACTTACTCATAATGCCATTAAATGGAAGTGAGGCATCTGAGGAAAAAAAATCGAGTCAGTCTTTGTTCTATTTGCAAAATTATGAGATGATCAGTCAAAATCTTGAGATACTAAGTCATAATTATGAGATACTAGGTCATGAGATATTAGGTCATAATTTTGAGATACAAGGTCCTGAGAAATAAGTCATCATTATGAGATATTAGGTCATGAGATACTTATTCATAATTACGAGATATTAGATTATAATTATGAGATACTAAGTCATCATTATGAGATAATAGGTCCTGAGAAATAAGTCATAATTATGAGATGCAATCACATAATTATGACCGAGTAACCTTTCCAAATTTTTTTTTTCTTTTCCTTTTTTTTTTACTGGTTGAACAGGGCTTTTATATTTAATCACTTCTTATTCTGGGAAAAAAAATAATAATAAAAATATCTGCTTCCAGTACAAATACACGCCTTGAGAAGAGACACAGCTTTACAACAGTGCTCATGCATTTGCTCATGGGAGACGCAGTATTTTTCTGCAGAATAACACAACCCAAGGTTACCCAAACAGGTCACAGGCATCAACACAATGTAGAAATGCATTTGGCTTTTTAGGGCACGGCCGTATTATAAAACTAGTAAGTTTAGCTGAAGTCCACACAGGCTGCTTCCAAACCTGAGGAGGAATAATCTGTTTGTAGGGAAGCGCCCTGCACACACAGATTTAAAGAGGTTAAATCTTTGTATTAAATTTGCTTTATTGCTTGAAGTTAAACTACGGCCCTGTGATGAAAATCAGACAAATCAGTTTGCAGAAAAACAGAACTATAACAGGACAGCTCTCTCTGTCTGCTGAGTATCATCTTTTGTTCAGGGTCTGGATCTGTCAGTGAGCGTGTAAAGGAAAGTTAAGAGTGACAGAAGGAGAGAGAAAAGGAAGTCTCACTGCCATTAACCTGAGACCTCCCTTCCCTTCACCCACCCCTCTTTGGTCTCGACCCCGCTCCACCTCCTCATTCATTCCTGGTGGAGAGGAAACTGCTGCCCCCTCTGGGATTCAGCATCATAATTATAAAGGAAGCAGAAGAGTCTGCTGTCTGTTAGAGCTGGAGAGGCTGCAGGCTGCGCGTACATGGAGTAACTGGATGTAACATGAAGTCTGAACGAGGTTTCTGACACTTTCAGGGAGGTAAGATCATCTTTTCTTCATAATGAAAGAGTTTAAAATAACGATAACAAAGACTGTTATAAACTCAGAGTAAATGTGACTGTGACAGAGTTTAATCTGAGGTTTTGGGGGATCAGCTCTACAAAACAGACCTGATTTTGAAGCCGCATGAAGAAGTCTGCTGCTTTTCAAACTCATTTCTGTGGTTTTACAGAAAGTAGACCGTTTCATCTGGAGGCTTTATCTGATCTCCACTCTTAATTTGATTTCCTCCCTCTGGAGTTGATGGGACATAATCAACATAATCAGCAGACTCACTCTCATACTCAGTGCTGCACAGAGACTGAAGGAAACTGAAGATAGAGTGTTTTAGGAGGTGAAAGGATGACTGAAATGAACACATGAGAAATCATTGACTGTATATAATTATGGATGACATGCCTCCATCTCTTTGTGGTTCAAGTGACGCCAAAAGACAGCTGACTTCTTGTGCTGCCAATCGGCTAAAGGGTTATTTCCCTAAATTTGGTTGTCCGTATGTCGGCTGTTTAAAGCTCCGATAAGGAGTTTTCAGCTGGTTACCAAAAACCATAAACTTATTAACGTTTGTGTTCCTCGGATGTCTGCTTTTGAATCCATCAGAGTCAGAGGAGGACGCAGCCATGGCAGATAAGAAGCCAAGAACCTCGGACACGCGTCCCAAGTGTGGCCTCCGCAGCTGGAGCGCAGACAGCTACGTGTGGCGAGGGAAGAAACGCTCCCGGAGCTCTTGCAACGGGTCGAGTCCCGGAGGATCAGAAGCGGAGGGGGTGGAGGAGCTGGGTGTGCGGTCAGGATCCTGTCCGAGGAGACGCAGAGAGAGGAAGTGCAGCTGCAGCGCTCTGGGGGACGCGCTGACATCTGGAGACATTGACGTGGTTTGTCGGAAGGCTTTGTCCCGCCGCTCCCTGAGGCAGAAGTTTCAGGATGCTGTGGGTCAGTGTTTACCTCTGCGCTCTCATCATCATCACCACCACCATCATCTTCATCATTCATCAGGCTCCTCCAGACCCTTCTCTGTGCTCTTCTGGTCCAAACGCAAGATCCACGTCTCCGAGCTCATGCAGGATAAATGTCCTTTCTCTCCCAAATCTGAACTGGCTCGATGTTGGCACCTTATCAAAAACAACGTCAATCATTCAAACTCCCTCAAGGACATGGAGACTCCCCTCAGACCCAACGTCTCCACTTCCTCCTCCTCCCCTCCCCAGACCCCCCTCTCCTGGGAGGACATCTGCTGCTCTCCTGGACCTGGAAGCACCAGTCTGGAGGACTGGAACCCGTCTTGTCCTCACGGTGGAGCGGAGGGCAGCTGTGGCCACACTGACTATATCCTGGTCCCGGATCTCCTGCAGATCAACAACAGCTCCTGCTACTGGGGTGTGTTGAACCGGTTCGAGGCGGAGGAGCTCCTGGAGGGCAAACCAGAGGGGACGTTCCTGCTCAGGGACTCGGCCCAGGATGAGTTCCTCTTTTCGGTTAGCTTCCGGCGCTACAGCCGCTCCCTGCACGCTCGAATCGAGCAGAATGACAAGCGTTTCAGCTTTGACGTTCGTGACCCGTGCATGTACCGAGACCCCAGTGTGACAGGACTTCTGAGGCACTACAGTGATCCGGCCACCTGCCTCTTCTTTGAGCCCCTCCTCTCCAGGCCTCTACCAAGGACCTTCCCTTTCACCCTCCAGCACCTGTCCAGGGCTGTGATCTGTAGCTGCACCACCTACCAGGGCATAGACTGTCTGCCGCTGCCCCCTCAGCTCAGGGACTTCCTCCGGCAGTACCACATAAAGTGTGACGGCGCCTGCGCTGTCTGACAAATGTGGCACATGTGGGACAAGCAGACGCAGGATCTTGAATTCAAGTACCTTCACTGCTGCTGGACTGTGAAGGTCTACGGACTACAGAGCTCTGATGACTGATACAAAACAATGACTTTGGACTTTCAGGAGGTTTGAAGCAGGAGTACTTCACCTTCAACTTCAGTGTCATCAGGGTTTATCACGGGCAGAGAAACAGCACCTCTCAGGGTACCCTGCTGAACCAGAACATCCTGTCTTTCTCTGTTTTAGTGTAAAAATAAAATGCTCGGCAGTGATCTTGGTCAAAGACGACATATCTAAGAATTACCCAAAGTTTCACTTTTGTTTCCCCTCTTACTCTTGTTTTATTTTCCCTCAAACTCTGAACCTAAGAGGATCTCGCGGTCTCTCTAAGAGGAAATATTTGGTGCTTGAGCTGATGTAGAGGGACCAGGGAAACACTAAGCACATTCACATCTCCGTATCTGACAAAGAGAGGATTTTATATTTGTCTATTGGTGCTCATGGATACCAAAGAGTCATTAATACTGGGGGTCTGTTTGGGCTTTTTCTGACAACCACGTCAAGTCTTAGCTGCAGTTTCTTCTGCAGCCACAAGATGGCAGCACATCTGCTCTGATCAGAATCAGAGCTTCTCACTCGTCTGTTTATTTACCTCTTTGATATTGGCTGTAAAATGGTATTTTAACATCACTCGTGCCTCTTAAGCTTTGAGGCGAACAGGTCACTTCACATTTCACTGACTCACAAACTAATAAAAGTCGTTGACGCTGCCTCTGTAGTGTGACTCTTCTCTCTCTGGTCTGAAGTTAATGGTGCATCTGTAGTTAGACGGAGTAATGGTACGGAAAATTTCTGAAAACAGCTCACTCTGCTCTCTGCAAGGGTCGCCTCTGAATGCCGACACTCCGGCAGAACAAGTGGACAAATAAGGACACGAAAAGCTCTATTTCCCACCTAAAGACGCAGAGATGGATTCAGTTATCCTCCCTTCAGGCCCACCAGTTTGTACCAATACAAAAACAGTGCATGACATATTCACTCAGATTTCCATCCAGGTACCGTCACTCTGTGTCTGGATGCTGGTGCAAATTATTGCCTGTTAACAACTTTATCCAATTTGTGATCATGTTAAACAAAGGTTTTGAAGCCTGGTGAATTAATTTTAGACTCTAAAACACGTCTATATTTTCTCTCGACATTTTTGAAAAGACATTTTACAAATCATTCTAGGAAGAAAACACCTATTTTACTATTTGTACTAGTCAGCAAACATCTGCTTCAGTCAACACTTACGGTGAAAATACTCCCCTCTGTAAATCAGGGAGGTGTGTTTTTTTTGTATCGGCGGCGCCTTCAACCTCAGTTTAGAGTGTTTTCACCATGTAGGTTTGTAGGTCATGAGATTTGTCCCACTGCACTTCAGGTAGAGACTGTTTACTCAGTTTTCAAATGCCCTGAATGTCCCGTTTGTTGACAGAGCCGTCAATCATGCTCCTTTGTACGGCTTCAAATAACTAATTCAAACTAAACTTATCAATGAAATTAAAGCTATAGTATGTAACTTCTGCATGTCTGTAAATATCTGTTTCATCCAAAACACTACAGGAGGAGATGATATCAAGCTGATGAAGTCGTTTGGCTCCTTTAACATCTTGCGGTATTTTTCCATATTTGTTTTTTTGTATTTGGTGTGGAGGGGCGACATTCCCGCGCTGGTGCACAGGAAATGATGCTTTCTATTCGGTTTTACCTGACATTGGGGGGACACTGCTAGAAGAACCTGAAGAAGCAGCCAAGAGGTTCAGAAGTGGATCCTTCTAAAAAAAAAAAAGAGGGAAGAAAGAGAGTGACGAACGGAAAGGACTAACGCCGATTTACAACGGCGTCGATAGAAGTTACGCACTTTAGCTTTAATTTTCAGACATAATTCAGCAAGATAACAACGAACCTCAACACCGGGAACAATGTTGTGACATTTTTCTGGATGGTTATTTTATCTGACAAAGCAGAGAAGAACAACGGTTTGATGATCTGTACTTAAACCAGTCACCAGGGGGCGCTCCCATCTTCATTCAAAAAGGCATCACTAGAAGAAGACATTAAACACGTTCTCTGAACTTGGACCTCTATTATAAGACCACTATATGATAAACATTCTTGTTATGTTGGATCTAGTCCGAGTCCGTCCTTGTGTTAGTTCTCTGGTCAACATGTCAAAGTCCAGTCAATGGACAGAGTCCGGAGCCAGGTCTATTGATCGTCCTGAACCACAGACATGAAATATTAATGTCTTCTTGTATGATCCAGTTATAGAGCATCATTATTCAGAGTTCATACTTATCAGGTTACTCTACATCCATGATACCTCTGATATACAAACCCACTAAATAAAACCTCTGTTTCGCTTTGACCTCATCCAGTGTCATTTCATACAGTCCAGTGTCGCCTAAAACAAGCGTGAAGCTCAGGGTTCGTTGTAAATGTGCTGTAATGTTTCACTGATGGAGTATTTAGACAACCAGCTGTCCACCGACAGAGCATTTCCTGTTACACTAATCAAATTCTCCCCTGAGACGCCGTTCGACCAGGCGGGTGAGGAGTCAGACGACGGCGGGCTGTCTGAGGCGGTGGAAAGGAGATTACATACATCAGAATTTATTGGTGATTATTATTAGTGAGACAGAAAATAATGTAGGTGAGTGAGGAGAGGATTTAAAACTCTAATCCTGAAAGAGTAAAATGTTCATGAAATCAGAATTTATGTTTAGAAAATGATTAAAAAACTATATTTGATTTTCAAGGATCAGTTATAATCTGCATCGATGGACATAGCGATAAAAAGTATTCACAGACTTGGTTTTTGATGTGATTTTGAGCCCATGCAGAGCCGTGTTTGTTTTTAGTGCAGCCATCCAATATCAGATTTTGTCCTTGTCCTTATTTGTAGAAGACATTATCATTTTACAACTTTTTTGGTGATTTTATCTTTGAATGTGAAACGAACACACACGTCGAGTTGTTTTAAATAACCCATTCAACATTTTCTATGAAGGTCAAACCTGGTTATCATCACCAGATCAGCTGGATTTGTTCTCGGCAGATTATCTTTCAGGTCGAACTGTTTTTTTTTTTTAATTATGCGCTTGTCTCAAAGGTATGAAAGGTTTAAGTTTCATGTATGACTGACAGTTTGGCGCACTGTCGCTGTTACAGGCTTACCTTAACTCCACCTTTTGGGTCAGCGTTGCGTAAATTCCAGCGGCTGTCATTAAAAGCCGCCTCAGAACCCAGTGACCTCGAAGGTTTTGTCTATTCCGTATTTTTTTTTTTGTTGGTGTTTTTTGGGCTATTGATCAGACCATAAGACGTGGCCACATAAGCAGACTGGTCCAGGATATGCAACACATATTAGCTCTTCCAAAGTATGAGTTTATAGAGTAACCATCAAACTTGTGCCAAAGTTTCTCCTTTGCCATTGCATCTGTGTGTTTTTTTTAGGTAAATCAGTAAGCGGCTGTGTTCAGATGTTAGCAAATGGGTTTCAACTTGAAACATGACCTGATTTCTCTCTGGATTATCTCTACAAAGCCTGGATGCTCATCAATCAGGGAGCCGTAGAGAGACTGCAATTAGTCCAATTATCAAGGATTTAGCGACTTATTACCTGAGACCGTCATGATGCATGATAGTCATATACAAGCCTCCCACTCTGAGTGTGAAGAAAAGGCAGAGGTGAGAATATGTATTACTTGAAAACCTTGGACAAACATAGACATAGACTGTATAAAGAATGGACAGAGTCTGCCTCTTCGCTGGGTGAAGCCACTCCGTGAACAGCACCCTCTGCTGGTGGGCTGCAGTACAGGCCATAAATCCCGCCTCCGCCAGCAAAGCTTATAGAAATTTATTAAACGGAACATAAATTTTTCTCCCCCCTGGTTGTGATGTTGACATGTAGTTACAGTAAGACTGGTTTGTGCTCAAGTCCTCTTTTTTCTGTACAGCTCCTTTTTTAAAAGTTATTAGGGGGTTCATGTTTTCTATGATTGACACCTGGTACAGCCTATGGGTGTTCAGGGGTTGCGTAGCTCACCCGGGGGGATACGCTGTTTGAGCCGAGCGTTATCACAGGGACTCTCGGCGACTGCACGGCCGAATGCACGCATCGCTACTGCGCAGCTCTGGTTTGTGGAGAAAAACCCTGAATTACCGAGAGCGTTTTGGCTTCAAATCCGTGTACAGGCAGAAGGCGGAACCAGGTTGTCCATAGTATATACAGTCTATGGTCACAAACATCTGTGGAAATTTTACTTTCCACCAAGGGTGCCAAGGGTGTGGACAGGGAGGGACATCAATTATCAAATAAGTAGTCAAATCAATCCAGCCTAATTGCTTAGAAACATGTTGTTTTGAAAGAGGTGGGACTGTGTACTTTAATCACTGCATCGGTTTCCAGAAACACTAAACACAAAGTGTTGTGTTACAGGAAAGGCAAAAGTACATATTTTTTTAGCTGTGCCAAGTAACAAATGTGGACTCTCACTACGTCAGTAAGCAGCAGTGTTGTGCTGTTACTGAAAAAAGTAACTAATTACAGTCACTAGTTACTTTGTAAAAAAGTAACTCAGTTAGTTACTCAGTAACCTAAACCAAAAAGTAATGCGTTACAAAGAAAGTCACTTTTAAGTTACTGTTCTTCCAGTGCTCCCATTACATAAAGGTGGATTGACTGAGTTCTCCTCTAATCGTCATTTCAGCTCTGTCCCGATGCTGAATAAAACAAACTAAATTAAAAACTGATTAAAACAACTGTTTCAATTCATTTGCATCCACATCACTGATTCTAATCATCCAAGCAATATGATCCGTTGTGCACCAACACAAACCTCGACACGAACACCAAAATTTCTCCGTTGGATTTCTGGAATAATAGCCTAATATCGCTAAAAGAGATCCAAATAAACAATTAAACATACCGTGCTATTGTTTAA